TTGCTCTTATGTTGGAGGCCATCGCTCTTAGGTTGGAGGCCATCGCTACTAGGGTGGAGGCCATTGCTCTTATGTTGCAGGCCATCGCTCTTATGTTGGAGGCCATTGCTCTTAGGTTGGAAGCCATTGCTCTTATGTTGGAGGCCATCGCTCTTGGGTTGGAGGACATTGCTCTTAGGTTGGAGGCCATCGCTCTTAGGTTGGAGGCCATTGCTCTTATGTTGGAGGCCATCGCTCGTAGGTTGGAGGCCATCGCTCTTAGGTTGGAGGCATTAGCTCTTATGTTTTGGGATGATGATGAGGTCGCGGTGGTGGTAGCCGCATAAACAAACCAAGGCACCAAACCCAAATGTTCACTCTAGGCGCACCGGCCATCCCTACACCAAAAAACACCCATCACCAAGGGACAAAGTATGCAGCCACTCACTCAGCGCAGCCAAGCAAAGTGACAAAAAGTAAAAAGACGTAAAGAACCAAGACCGAGCCATCACCCTAGACTGGCATATAGCCGTCTGATACACGTCCCACTGGGAGTCTGGGGAGGACATGGCAGCCTGGCCGTCACTCCCCCGGGATGGCTAAGGCCCTGACCCGCGGGACAAACAAAACCCGGCAGCAACGGTCACCGCGTTTGCATCCCTGCTTGCACATTCAGCAGCTATCATTCCCCCTGTCTTGCCGTTTCATCTTGTACCTTGGCTGTGCCTACCAAACCCAACTAGACCCCCTTCAGATCAGCCACGAGTCACCACAGGGATGACACCGTAGGACCCCAAAAGCGGGAAACCAAACCAAGTCACGACCCAACCAGTTCACCCACAACAACGTACGGGTCAGTCACGTTGTTTTCAGTTGACCCAGGGGGACAACTCAACGTCCCTTACCCCGAAACCAGCAGGAGTTGCGTGCTCCCGTTCTCCCTATAGACCAATTAAACAAACATCGAGAAACCAACCCGGTGAAAACCGGAGAAACGCCGGACCCGAAAGACCGGATTGGGTTCGCCCTTGTCATCTGTAAACGTTCCAACCTACAACCCAAGATACCACTTACAGACAAGGTTGCCCGGTGGCGCCCACGCACTAGGTTGGAGGCCATCGCTCTTAGGTTGGAGGCCATTGCTCTTATGTTGGAGGCCATTGCTCTTAGGTTGGAGGCCATTGCTCTTAGGTTGG